TTTTTAATTTATTTTTAATTTTTAATTTTAATAACGCCTTTTTTATTGCCGAAATTCCTCGCTGTACACAATTCCTTTGCTCAACGTATAATAATAATCACTGTTAAAAAATATCTATCTTGATTTTTTTTCTGTTCCAAATATTATTACAAAGCGTTTCCTTCACAAACGAGCAGTTTCACTTTTCTACACGGTACCATCATGATGGATTGAGCAATCTCCTATAAACGTCTTAATAATAATAGCCATACTCCCTTAGCTCGTTAATAATGTTTACCCCCCACTTTCGACACTACCTTTATTTATAATTTTTTTTACTTCAGACAGAGTTCATTTATAACAATTTACACAGCTATTAACGTATAAAGTTTCGACAGCTTTGTATAATTTCTGTATTTCTATCACACATAATTATATTTTGATCCAATAATTTCGTATTTTTTTATTATTTTGTAATATCAATTATTTGTAACATTAAATATTACACACGTACTGAAAGTATACATTTGTTTTCTGCTTTTTTTTTCACTAAGCATATTGATTATAAAAAAAAATTCAGCTGAAAACAAATGAATTAAAAATACGACTGAACTGACTATGCAGATTTTTTTTAAGTAGATTATGTGACAGAGACTAATGACATGCATACGATCGATTTGACCTTAGGGTTAGGGGTAAGGGAAGCAGCGTACCACCTGAGTTTTATTTCCATTAATTTCAATTAAGTTGGAAAGCAAAGGCTTAATTAAGATAAAATAATGATTGGAAATACAAGTATAATTAATAATATGATAAATTGTTCTGACTTGTTTAAAACCATTTGAAGTAATTTATACATATGTATTTTTTATGATTCGCATATAATAGGTATGAGAAAATGAATACTTTCATGCATTAAACTATCAGATTGAGAAATTTAATAAAAATTTATCTAGATGACTAGATGTAGGGGGAATTATATTCAGTTCAGAACGTAGAAAAAATGTTCGGTAATTTGTTGTATTCGTAATAATTTAAAAAAAAAAATGACTATTTATAATTATTTAATTATAATCTAAATTTATAGATTGTATGTTTTTTTTTTTTATTAATTGATATAGGCACACGAATATTTTGCATAGATACGTGAACAGTTATAATTATGGCAACTGGATGCATATATTTTTATTTAAAGTGTACACATAAATAATTAAATTGATTATTGCATGAACAATTAATTAAACAACCCAACATTGTGTGGTATGATTGTTACATGTTTATTGTTTTTCTCTGAAAAAATATACAAATACATCATTTTGACAAAATCCATAAAAAAGTGGGTTATRTTGTTTGAGAGGAAAGGTTACTAAAAACGTACACGAACAAGGATTTTTTTATTTTTTTCAAAATCCTATTCAAACAAGTTGACGAGGATACACGTGTAAATGTGTAATACATATAAAATAATAATATCATATATCATRCTATATTCGCTGTACGTTATGTAACACATCTACAAGTACAAATCAACATGTTAAAAATAATTGAGACTATATTATTATTATTATTAAACTATCAAATTAATATGTAGGTGAGTGAAAACTAAAATATCTGGTTGATATTTTACTATTTTTTTTTACAGTTTACGTATATAACATAGAAATATGAAATAACATATTATTACGTACCTATTACAAGGTTTTTTGATTATTTACATTATAAAAACCCATCCATGCTATGAATTCAGAATTATATAAAATACAGAAAGTATACAACATATTAGCTTAATTTTCGAATTGACTCTACCTATATTGCGTGTTTTCATTAAATTTCTCAGTCATGAAACTGTTCATGTATATAAATATCGATTTCACCAACTGAACACGATATGTTAATATTTTAACTTCTTTATAAAAGTTATACGATCCAATTTATCATAAACGTGATTAAAATATGGCACATAATGAATGATTATTTTTAATTAGTTAACATACAATCAAACAAATATGAAATAAAAAATATGATATTTTATTTATATACCTTTATTTTGAAATAAAACATAACGATTTTTGATCGGCATTTTGAGTGAATAACTTTTCTTAGCACCTTTCCGTCAGAATAACTGATGGTGTGATAAATATATTATAAGTTTATTGTACAAAATAAAAATCATTTGAGTACATCGATCTATAAATAAATAATGAAACCCAATATTTCTGTTATTTTATTTATTATTAATATGTGAATTTGAGAATTCGCAATGTTGATCTCTCCGAAGTACCATCAGTCTTCTGCTTAAAGGGGGCCATACGAAACTTCTAGAGCAATTTAAGTCTCTCTATGTCTCTCTCAAATAAGGTAACATTTGTTATCTAAAACCAATAGCTGTTCTTGATATGTTTAGATATAAAACTACTGATTTAACCATTGGTATTAAATTGTGTTTTATATATATTATTATTTTTTATTGTACCAATAATGGGTCATGGTTATCAATTTTGCACTTTGTTGTATAAAATAGAAACTATATTAATATTAAATCGCAGTTTTTACTTGAATGAAAAAATAATAATTACATTTTATTTACTAGTATATATTGTTTAGTTATGCGGAAAAAATAACTATGTATTATGTATTTTAATATTTATTTATTTTTGATAATTGTGGAGTTATAATAATAATATATAACACAAAAAATAATTTTTATTTGGCGATCAGCAAAACGATTGTCTTAGATTTTCTTTAATACAACCCTAAAGTATTTCATGTATATTTAATCACATATTCATATTACACTTAATGAAAAACAAAATAAACAGAGATGTACTATGTTATTTTAGTTTATTAAAATTATACAAAGAATATTACCATGTTATTCTACAATRATGATTCTTATCACCCCCCAAAAAGCAATTATCACTTGTTAGATAACTATAACTTTATAACTTAATAACATAATATGTACTTATAATTGAGCTAATTATGATATCATATAAAGTTAAATTAGTTGTTAATAAATGAACAAAAATACTTAATATATTATTATTTAACGTGCTTAAATACACKGCTTCTTCAAAACCTTTTCGTATAATCGATAAATATAAATACTATTTTTTTCTCAGGTCTATCATCTGAACTCTACTATGTTCGTGATGGGGTTGTAAATACATATGCAATGAATTTTGAAGTACCAGTTCCTGCGAACATTGGGGAACTTGAGTTTTGCTGGCAATCGCTGACTCGACATTCGGTAAGTAAAATTATTTTCAATCGTCATGAACACTATCCAGTATTTTATTTCACACGAGTAAAGGTACTATTTTTGGTTTAGCAAAGAATATTACAGTTGAACATTTTTTTTTATATGCTTTTGAGGGGCAAGAAAAAGTTTTACAAACAATAAGTCTTAGATATTATTATGTTACGAACGGTTGATGGTTTAATTAGACGTGACATTAAACCGACTGTATGAAGRGTTAGCTTTATTTTGACTTGGAAATCACGTACCTAGCGCGTTCAACAAGCGAAATCCAAAAACTTTTGCCAAAARGGGAACCGTTACGTGATTCATACACTTAAGCACCCATTGAACGTGAACTGAACTGTCAAATTATAGAGAAATTGTCAATTTACATTTTGGAATTCCGCATTACACGAATGGAATTCACACAGGTCTCAATATATTATATTTAAATTAAAAATATAATACTGTTTGCTGTTGTGTAAAAATATACATTATTTTAATCCCGCGTAAAATATATTTTACTCATAATGAATATATAATTATTAAAATTAATATTAATATTATAATACTTAAATAAATACTTATGTATAAAGTAGCCCAGAAACTGATCAAGCGATAATAAATTATAAGTGATAGCGATAATGTAATAGAGCTTGACTGTTGACACCATAGGGATAGAAAAGTCAGTGTAGTGAAAATAATATGTAGATTTATTTAAAATAGCTTATTTTTTTTCTATAACCTCTGAATGTTCTATTACTGTATCTATTGTATCATTAATATTAGATTTTTTACTATTATAGATTAATCAAGAATGCATATTCCCCTTAAATCCTTTAATAATGCATTCATTTTTAATTCTGTTTTTTAAATGCTTAAATATAAGTACTTAAAGGCTATATTTTAAAATATYTTATTATTTATGTCATTTAAAAAGTGCCAAATGGTAATACAAACTTCGTTTTTTTTCTAATCAGAATGACATTTTGTACTATACACTGTTAAGCACATGATTTCTTTGAAAATGTCGACAAATTTAAATTTAAATTCAAACGAGTAAAATTTCTGAGTTTTGTAGAATTAGATATAGGTATAGTTTGTTTAGGCATTTTACAACATACATTTTCCTAACCCCCCTCATTATAGGAATTTTTTTTATAAATATTTAGTGTAGAGTTTGTATAAATGTGTACGATCACTCTCTAAATTATCACAAAGTCCTTTTCGGAAACGAAATATGTTTATTTAAACATTAGAAATTTATTTATCTGTTACAACAAATTCTTTCCTACCTTTAAAAAAAAAAATCCGTTTTGTTAAAATGCTAACTTTAAATATCTATGGTCTAAAAACAAAATTGTCCAAATTTTATTATGTTTTTGATATTTTTAAGCTGTTATAAGAACAATTGTTGAAGGAATTTTAAAACATTTAGATTATTATATTAAAAACATAGATGATGCATTGATTTACATAATTAACTTTAAATTTTGATTATTTTATTATCATAGCTGTATATTATTATTTGCGATCTAAAATACATCGTTATTAAAATTGTTTTATAATTTCTAATTATTTATTATATTCTAAATTCTAAAATTACATGACTTAATAATTACCTATAGTATAGGTCTTATACTTATTATACATAATAAATATTTGTTATTCAATTACATATATGTCTAATACCATATCTGTATTATTTTATAGATAATATTTTAGTTTTACTTTTTAGTATATGTACCTATATATATATATTTACATGTACTTTTGCTATTTAATGCATACCAAGTGATTATTATTGACATTTTTCATTCAAACTATCGATCAAACTATTTTTCATTAAGATCTAAATGATATCTTAGACGATTTATTTTTTTTTCAACGATACACATTGTGATGGCTCTTTTAGAGTTCCATAAGTACTTTTTTTCTTGTGTAGTTTSCGGGTCCCCTAGATATTTAAGTCCTGACCAAATCGAGAATTTCAAGTCATCGCGATAAACGAATATGAAGATTTATTACATAACAGATATTTATATAACATATAGGGTCCTACTGTAGTCCGGATGTCGTCGGTACGAGGAGATGGTGCAAGAGAGAAGTTACACATTATCCCGGACAAGGCTTACTGGCGCCGACTAACCAGACACCCCTCGTCTTTATGACGACGAACATCATTGATTTTATGTGCTTCGGGGAAAACCATRCCGCATTATCATATTTTAGAAGTTATATCATTGTATTAAAGGGATATCGTAAAAAGTCGATGATGCAAACTGGATAGAATAAGAGAATTCGTGTGGAACTAGTTGGGTAACGATAGAATTTTTTTTTTAATTTTACGAAGTTGATCATAAATTAATTTATTTTATATCTGATTTAAAYACGATTGACTCATTTTATATGCGTATTGCGTAGGTATATATTAATTCAAAATGCACACTTCAAAACTTGTGGAAATTGTGAAAAACATTTTATGTGATCTCTTATACCCTATAGAAATTTTGTTCATGGTATTATAGTTATAATATTTTTTTCATAATTTTTAATGTACCTATATATATATATATATATGTATCATGCATATTGTTCTGTTTTAACTTTTAATTAAATAATGTTACAAATATAAGATTAGACAAAATATACATACACATTAAATATTATATATACATATATGTTACGGACAAAGTAGGAAGTAAGACTGATCATTTTAATACTAAAATTTGTCATACATTGACCGGGCATTGTGCTAGATTGCCCGGGCAAAGTGTACCCTGCCCAGATTCAAGTGGGCAAAGTGAATTATACAGTGCGCTGCACACTTTTATATCAAATTGCATTTATACGTAATGATATCACTACAAAACTATAATTATATATTTTATTCGTACACGACAACGCGACAGCTGCGATAGTACGAACCGAACCGTAATCTAAACGATAAAGTGATCACACAGTATTGTAGATAATATTTCATAATCGAATCGTTAAATTCYTATTCGATATTTTCTAATGATTATTGTCACGACGGCAACGTCACGTAGTCTGACATTGTAGTGTAGGTAGTGCAGTTGCGTGTAGTGCTATTTTTTCTTTTGGTCAACGTTTTTAACTATTTTCTAAGTATTTGTGTACTATTTTCTAACATAAAATGAAAAAAAGTTTAATGAGAAGTTTAAAAATTTACTWTTAAACAAAAATGCAAATGCTGTATTTTTAAATAAAGTAAAATACGATGAATTAATTTTAAAAGTGAATAATGTGAAAACTAAAACCTAATTTGGRTGGCCAAGGGTACGATAGGTATAGGTACTTGCAATACATTGTGTAAGACCAACCGGTGTAAATGTAAAAGATCTGGTCGTCTTTGCAACTGAAAGTGTCATAA